GACACTCCCACATGGCTGATCATGGTTTGAGTCCCGGACCGGGTGGTTTGCTTCCTCACTTCTCTCTCTCTCTGTCTCTCTCTGTCAAATTAAAAATAAATTAATGAATAAATAAAATTAAATAAAAATTCTTTTTTAAAAAGTAAAGCAATAAAAACAGAATATTTGAGGGACCAGCAGTTAGCATAATAGCTATGTCATTGAACTCCAATGTAGTCAACCACAGTTCGAGTCCCAGACCCGGTGGCTTAAACTCATGCCAAGATCCCGAGAGGAGAATGGAGGAGAAGGGATTGCAGCGTGGCCATCCCCCCTGGGGAGTGATTTCTTGCTCTCTATCTCTCTGTCTCTCTCTGTCTTTCTGGCAAGCACACATGCCCTATAGCAAAAACCTCTCTCCAAAATAACACAGATTATTTTAAGATTTTCTATAAAATTGACTATTCTTTGCTTGTGATGAATACAAATTTACTGCATGCTGGTAAATAACTCTATTGATTATTAAATAAGTTCTTCACCTTGTATACTTCTACCTTTCTTCACATGAAAGTCAAGAAAGCAAGATAACCCTAAGTTCCTAAAAGCATATTTGCACTTGCCAACCATAAAAGTCAACAGTTCTTTCTTTCTTTTTTTTTTTTTACTTCTTTCACTTACTTTAATTTAATTTATTTAATTTATTTACTTTTAGAGAGTTTAAGCCACCGGGTCCAGGACTCAAACCACGGTCGACTACATGGGAATCCAGTGACATAGCCATTATGCTATCAGCTGGTCCCAAGTCAACAATTATTTCTAACCAACCAACTTATTTCCAAATTCTGAAAAGTCATGAGTTTAGATAATTAAGCTATTGTTCCACTAATGTCCACACAAAGAACTGGATGAATAAATCACAATACATTAATATAATAAAACTCAATCCAAATTTTAATGAGAAAAAAATGAGGCTCTTTTGAAATTATATGCTATAAAAAACAATATACAATTTAAAGTAGAAAAGTGTAAAGTGAGAAGAGTAGGTTCAGAATGTTATTATTTGTTTACTTTTTTAAAAAGGCAGAGGGCCAGATAGTGATACAGGGGTAAAGTGCAACCCTCTGTGAAGCTGACCTACATGGAAAGATTCCTAGTTCATGTCTGGAGACACCCCTGAGTGTGCTGGGCACTTGCACGCCCTGGATAAGGGCTGGCTGAGGCTAGGAGTGGATTGCAGCAGCAAGACCCTGTTGGGAGTTCTCTCTCTCTCTCTGTCCTCTTTTTCTCCTTCTTTCTCTTTCTCCTTCTCTTTCTCATACACACACACATACACACACACTCCCTGTCTTTCTCATTCATTAAGGAAAGAAATGAGTAAACTTTGTTTTTCAAAGGTGAATGGGGGACCAGAAGATGGCATAGTGGTTACATCGCTAGACTTCCATATAGTCAACCGCTGTTCAGATCCCGGACCCTGTGGCTTCAAACTCATGCTGGGCCTATGTACATGCCTGCATGCATGTGTGCCCAAAATCCCAAGAGGAGAATGGAGGAGAAGGATCTGTGGTGTGGCCATCCCTTCTGGGGGGTGATTTCTCGCTTTCTGTCTCTCTGGACAGAGCATGTGTCCTAAAGTAAAAATTCCCCCCCAAAAAAATTATAGGCAGATGGTACACATATAAAATTTTATAATATACAAAAGAAACTGCAACTAATTCAGAAATCCAGAAGTAAAATGAATAGTTTACAGTTGGAGGCAGCAAGGAAACTTTTCACTATATACTAAATTTCAGATCTTGAAATTTAAAAGTAAATACGTTTCCTATAAAAACAAGAAAGAAAATAAAAACAGTGCAGAACTTCTGTTTAAAATATACTTTCAGGGCCAGCGAGCAGCGTGCTGGTTAAGGTGACATGGCTGGTTCAAGTCCTGGACTGCCTGGTGGCTTGAAAACCATGCCCAGCTGTGCAAGCACCAAAATCCTGAGAAAAGAATGGAAGAGAAGGGATTGCAGTGCGGCCACCGCCCCTGGGAGTGTTTTCTCACATCTCTCTTCCTCTCGCTCCACAGTGAGCATGCTCATACTATAGCAAATTTAAGTATATATATATGTATATATGTATATATACACACACACACACTTTTAAGTCACTAATATAATTCACATGAAGATGGCAAATACAACTCCACAAAGTAAGCTTTAAAAAGTTTGTTTCAAGGCCAGCTGGTGCTGTGGTAGTCAAGATGCTGGACTCCCACATGGCAGGTACGGTTCAAGTACTAGACCTGGTGGCTTGTATCTCTCTCTCTCTTGTGAGTAAACCTACCCTATAGCAAATTAAAGAAATGATAATCATAATAAATAAAATTAAATAATTTTTTTTAAAAAGAGAAAAGTTTGTGTCATGGAAAATGCCTTTATCCCCCTTTTCCATCATACTGAGATTTTTTTTGATTAAGGATTTTCAATACATTTATGATTTATGCACTGTGTAGCTAATGAAAATATTACAGTGATTACATATTAACCATATTTTCACACACCTGGATTGCTAGTGTCTTCAATAAAATGACACATGCAATGTTTTACTTAAGTTTTAAATATTAAACCACTTCCAAGAAGACCATATTTATAAATAACTCTAACCATGCAAGAAAGCCTTCCATGTAAAGAAAGCTTGCTGGTATGTTTTTTTAAAACAATTATTTTATTTAACTTTATATATTTATTTACTTTAATTTGACCAGAGAGGGGCACACAGTGAGACAGAAAGAAAAAGTGAGAAAGCAAGCTGCCAGGTCCATGGTTGGCTGCGTGGGAGTCCAGTGCCCTTAAACCACCATACCACCTCCTGGTCTTCCTGATATCTCTTTTATGAAGGCTTTTATGACTACTACACAAATATAATTGAGAAATAGCAGAAAAGTGGTGTAATAAAATAAATCATTGAATTTCTAGAAGAAATGTTAAAATAAAAAGTAAATGTCATGCTAAAACAAATACTTATAATCTGAGGACAATATATGGAATAAATATTAGCTCAAAATATATCTTGAAAAAAAACTTACTACAGCATATATAAAGATTGAATACAAAAGTGTGGGTATATAAATATAAAGATTTGGAAATCCACATTATAATAGAAAGGCAATGAATTTGTTATTAAAATTGGCAAATAGGGGCCAGCATGTGGCGTGATGGGTAGGTGCTGGACTCCCACATGGCTAACCATGGAATGAGTCCTTGACATGACAGCTTAAAAATCATGCCAAGTGGGAACCAGCAGTTAGCGTATTGGCTATGTCACTGGACTCCCACGCAGACAACCGCAGTTTGAGTCCCAGACCCGGTGGCTTAAACTCGTGCCGTGCACATATGCATGCGTGCCCAAGATCCTGAGAGGAGAATGGAGGAGAAGGGATTGCGGCGTGACCATCCCCCCTAGGGGGTGATTTCTCGCTTTCTGTCTCTATATCTCTCTCTGTCTGTCTGGTGAGCGCACGTGTCCTATAGTGGAAAAAAAAACTCTCAAAAAAAAAAAAAAACATGCCAAGTCAGTGTGCAAACAGAGTGTGTGCGTGCCCAAAAGGAAAGGGGATGGCCATCCCTCCTTGGGGGTGATTTCTCAATTTCCATATCTCTATCTCTCTCCTACTAGTGCAAGAACCCTATGGCAAAATTATTTTTAAAAACTGTCAAAATATTCATCCAAAGGTAGAAAGTAACTGACATAAATGACCAATCAATCTACGGGCTTCCAAGGCCCCAACAGAGAAGTAGCATATTAAATATACATTTTAGGTGAACGATTAGTGCAAAAAATAAACCCAAAAAAAGCCATATGTAAAGGTATCGACTAAAATTAAACAAATTATGAAAGAAATAATTAAGTACAAAAGATGAAATGATTATTTTTTGAATTGTAAAAAAAGAATAAAAACTGTTATATAAAACTCACATTGTCTGTGGAGCTGGGACCCTGAGGTAGGCTGGGACTGAAGGCCATGAGGTCGGTCTTGGGAGGGCCCTCCCCAGAGCACACCCTCTGACTCCTCTGCTGAGAGTAAGACCAGCTCCCCACCGCGCTGGAGCACACCAGCGTCGGCTTCCCAGGCCCGCAAGCGCCCTCTGGGGGCGGCGCCGAGCACCGCAGCGCCGTGTACAGCAGCAGCGTGAGCACCAGCAGGCTGGACACCGCGCAGATGGCGATGATCAGGTACACGTTCACGTCCACCAGGGTCGACTCGGGGCCAGCAGCGCCCACCATCGCCCGCGAAGAGGCCTTAGGCGCCTGGCCGCTGTCCACCAGAGACACCAGCACGGTGGCCGTGGCCGTCAGCGCGGGCTCGCCGTGGTCCCTCACCAGCAAC